AGAGAGAGAGAGAGAGAGAGAGAGAGAGAGAGAGAGAGAGAGAGAGAGAGAGAGAGATGTTTTAGTGAATCTTAAGAGTGATCTGGTCCAAGAGTATGGAGCTAGAATGCTGTAGGGCTGGGACCAGGCCATCATTCGGTCCTTTCTGATCACAATTCCTTTCTGATGTAGAAGGTGTGTGTGTGTGTGTGTGTGTGTGTGTGTGTGTGTGTGTGTGTACATGGTCCCTCATTTCTTCTTTCTTCTCTATTTAATGAACCAGAGCTCTCCTAATATGACAGAGTTGAAGGCCTTATTCTTTTCAGTCACATTCAAGCTATAGATCATCTTTTCAATATGAAGGAGGCCAATATATATTATGTTTGGTTTGTAGGAATTCTTTGGTTTATGTTTCTATTCATGCCTTAATATGCATCAGTGCTATTGTGTGCACCAGTGTGTGCTATGACTATGAAGGTAGCGTGCATCTGTGTACGTGTTTTTCTGTAGCCTGCAAGCATCCCTCCCTGTGCCCCTTTGTGCGACATGTAAAGAGAAGTCTCTCCTCCCATGCAGTACTCAAGAGAAGACAGTGGTTGGTCCTCCTGGGCTCTGGTTTCTTCAAGGCTGGGGCAGTGCTTGGCGTAGGGATTTAGCAGCCAAGAAAGCCAAAAGGAGTTACTAACCAGCTTTTCTCCAGGGCCTGCAATATGCCAGAAGTGCAGCAGCAATGATCACCACACCAAGAAGGCCTCCGAGTAGCCCAGCAACTAGCCAGTTGCTGCTGGGTCGGGTGGACAAGGCTTGGGAACCTGGGGGCAGGAGGTGGGGGGAATGACCATGAGCATTGTGCATGACATTCAGAAATGCATCTCAGATCGGCTCAGAAAGGCAGAACGGCTGGCTTTATGAGTGCCATGTGGCCTGTAGGAGCCTTGAAGATAGGAATGAAAGATAGCTCAGAGGATGCCAGCATGATCTGGCGACACCATGGACCACCGTGTACCATGCACCATGGAGCTCCCACACCCTGCCAGGTTCAGTGCATGACCCACGCTCTGTCATGCAGAGCCTGCCACGGGCCATCACTGTGCCGGTCATGGTGGGAGGTCATTGAAGAGTGAGATCTGACTGCTGCCAGCTTGCAGGAGCTCAGAGCCTGGACTAGGGGATGAAACGCACCATCCAGGGAAAGCTTCTTGGGCTGGCTCTTCTCTCTGGAAACACTGTTCCTGGCCTCGCAGGAGTAGTTACCAGCATCTTGCTCTGACTTCACTGGGAAGAGGAGGCAGGCGGCTCCACCATGGAGGACAGAGTGGTTCCCTAGGATCTCCCCATCCAGGTAGAATAAGTACAGGATTGGAGGGGAGCCTCTCTGGGCCTCACAGAGCAGCTCTATCACATCTCCTACAGCAGGGCCACGGGCTCTGTGTCGCAGAGTGAGGAGAGGCCGGGACACAGGAGCTGGGATGGCAGGTGGAACAGGAGGGTCAGCCTGACTGTCCAGGCTCCTTCTGCTCCAGAGAGCCTTCCCCACTCCTGAGGTCCTGTTGCCTGGGTCCCTGGTGGGTCTTCTCTCCCTCTCCTACTCACCCTGCACCCTGATTTCCAGCGAGGGGCTCTGCTTCTGAACTTGGCCACCCTCAAGGGCTACTTTACACTGGTAAACCCCAGAGTCTCCCTTTGTGACTCCTGGGATACAGAATTCTGTGTGGCGGCTCGTGTTCTGCACTGTGTGGCCGTCCTTGTAGAAGGAGAAGAGGAGCCGCAAGGTTGACTTCTTGGGATGCAGCTTCGTCTGACATCTCAGGGTCAACAGGTCCCCCTCACGGGGCTCTGCAGAGGGGTTTGTGCTGAGCACAGGAGGCTGGAACAGCTCTGGGGAGACATTAATATTCTGGGAGGGGAGCCCTGGTCAGTGAAGCCCAGGAGGCTGAGGACTGAGCTCTAGCACAGCTCAGGCTGCAGCTCTATGACCCAGATGTGAGACAGCGTCATTGCCCCAATTCATGAGCTCTGAAGGGCTCCGCCACAGCACAGAGCCTCAGGAGTTGTGAAAGTCAGAACCAGATGTGTCCTTGGTGGTCATCTAGTCCTCAGAGGGGCTGGGATGGCCCTTTCTATCACCCCTCCCCCTGGCTCCAGATGTGTTCCTGAGGGGTGAGGGGACATTTGGACACCATCAGGAATTGATCAGGGCTTCGTGTGTTGGCTCAACATCAGGGACAGCCAGAAAGAGGGGTCCTGCCCAGGAAGCTACTGACCACTAGAGACTGGGCCCCTGAGCAGTGCCTACTGCCACCAACCCCTCTAAGCTGGTGACTCACCTTGGACTTGAACCTTGATAACTGCTGAGGTTTGTGGGTGTCTGTATGTGTGAAATTCCACCTCCCTGGTACAGTAGTAGTACCCGCTGCTTTGCACTGTGGCTGCCTCAATGGACAGAGGCTGGTTGATCTTAGAGAAATTAAGGAATTTTCTGTTTTTGTAGAACTTCACCTGGGACCGTGCTGTGATCCCCTTTACCTGGCATTGCAGAGTCAGGGTGTCTCCTTCGAACACAGGGTTTGGTAGGACTTGGAGGTTCACCCAGCCTGTGAGACACAGAAGCAGGGTTAGCTTGGAGCTGCAGGTCCCATCAGTCTACTCTCCTCTTTTTCCGCAGCCTAAGGCCTCTTGCTGTACATGAAGACTTCTGGACAGAGCTTCACAGCTGCCTATGTCCAGTCCTTCATTCCCTATCAGGTCAGGGCCGGACCTTGACTTCCCGTTCTTCTTCTCCTCACCTTCCTCTTTCCTTTCTGTGTTTATTCCTCCCTTCCTCCTCCTCCTCTCTCTTCTCCTATGCCTTCTCTCTGGCCTTCTTCCCTCCCACCCTTCTTTTCCCCTTTTATATTTTACAGTCTGTCACCACCTTCCCACGTGTGGCAAAGTTAGGTTCATTCTATCCATTGTCTGGCCTCATTTCTCCAGACTCAATTTTCTCTCCCTAGGATTGGCTTCTACCCCAGAGCTGCACTTTATGCAGCCTTCACTCTGATAAGCTGCATCTCTGTCCATCAGATAGAGAGGGGCCAGTGGAGGGGCTTTGTGAGAGATACCACAGCCAGGGCTCGCTCCATCTTGCCTCTCCTGTCAGGCTTCCCAGGCCCAGCCTCCATCTGCAGCCCCAGCAGGGAGTTTCAGCTTCCACAACAGTCACGGGAGCGATTTGTTCTCCCATTCCTTATTCGTCGCATGCCTCCTGTGCCCCGATATGGACAAGAGAGGAGCTCTGAGAGGAGCTCTCACCTGCAGGGCTGGATCCTTACTGCAGGGTGGGCCTTGCTTTCCCGGCTGCTCTTTCTATCCATCTAAGTAGGAGTTTAAATTTCCACCCCCTCCATCACATAAAATGTCCTTGGAGGTCGAGATGCTCATAGCCTAGTGGTTTTTCCTACTTGACAGGAAGCACCCTCTAGGCCCTTGGACCAGGGCTGGAGAACAGGAATAGCAGAGCAAGAAAAGACTGAGGGGCAGACAAAGGCCTACTTCTGTGTATAGAAAAGGGAAGGAAGTGAGTCCAAGCTGTGTTGAGTAGAGAATACAGGTAGGTGCCCCAGAGCCACACTGAGAGAGGCGACAGAGGCTCTTCTGAGGGACTAAGAGGAAGGTCCAGAGCCACTCTGTTGAAACTCAACTCACCCTAGGACCAGCCTTAGCATTAGCCAATGGGGTTGCAGGTTTCTTCTCTTCGTGGACATTAGTCAAGTACCCTAAGGAAGGAGCCTGGACTGCAGCTGCTCTACAGGTGCTGCTGGGAGACCCAGTGGCACGGTCTATTCTTTCCATTAAATATAGGTCCAGAGATACATTTGGAGTGAGAACACATGGAAAGACTTACCATTTGTTCCAACACAGGAAACTGCAAGAGAACAAAGTGATTTTTTTTGATTAAGTTGTAGAACTTTCACACTGGGAAGAACTTTCATACCCGTCACTTGAACAACTGGTGCTTATATCCAGCCAGTCAGCCAACCACCGCGCAACCCAGCCACTCAACTGTCTAACTACTCAGCTAGCCACCTCATCACCTAGCCTTCCAACCACCTCACCCAGTTAAGTAATCAATTTTTATGGCAGACCCACTCCCTGACATCTTCTGCCTTATCATGTTCAAATGTTACCTCCTCAGGCATGTTTTTCCTGGGGCCACAATCAAAAGAATTCTCCCCAGTCACTATCACTGTGTCCCATCATCATCAGAACACTTATTATTCGAATTGATCTTATTCATTAAGTTGTCAAGACGTTATCACCTATCTTCCTCTGTTTAGAATTAGAATAAGCAGGGACTCTATCTTTTTTTTTTTTTTCTGAACTGAAGATTTAACCCAGGGCCTTCACACTGAGCTATGTCCCCAACCCTTTATAAATTTTAAGATAGATTTTTGCTAATTTGCCCAGGCTGGGCTCAAACTTGTGATCTTTCTGCTTCAGCCTTCCAGAGTGCTGAAATTACAGGTACGCGCACCATGCCTGGCTTGATTCTGTTTATTTTATCCACTATCCTGCTCCTTATGTGTAGGACCTATGCCTAGAACATTGTCTGTGTTCCATAAGCATTTGTTGAATAAGTACACGCATGCTTTCCTTTGCATCCAGTTGTGTGTGACAGGAATCAAAAAGTGGAAGGTGGGCTGGGGATTTAGCTAGGGCTGGGGATTTAGCTCAGCGGCAAAAGCGCCTGCCTGGCAAGCGCAAGGTCGTGAGTTCGGTTCCTGGTACCAGAGAAAAACCAAAAAAAAAAAAAAGTGGAAGGCGTAGGATTAGGCTCCTATACCACCATGCCCAAGGGCTCACCTCCCATGCAAATAGAAGAACCCAGATAGCAAGGTCTGGCCCCAGTTCCTATTGTTCAGAATGTCCACAGGGCTCTGGGGGAAATAGAGTACGGGTATGATCAGACTTTCAAGGCCAAGTTCCTTTCATACACAGTCAAGCATGTGGGACATGGGCAGCTCCGACAAACGAGAGAACTACAAATAAGCAACATGCATCACACACCATGCTGGCACCTGCACACATTACATCAGTGCTTTAGATGATAATGAATTGTCCCAGGGATAAAGGATGCTAAACTGAGGGACAGAACTGAACGTGAAGCAGTGAAGCATAGTTTGGACTTCTAGGCAGGGGATGCAGTAATGAAAGGTTGAAGGACTAAGTGCAGTCAGTTCAGCCAACCTTCCCCCATGCTGACTTGTGTCCTTCATTGATGACATGTCCTCCTTGCTGCAGGAAACACTGAGAAACACAGGCATGGCCCCAGGAGGGGTGGGTGAAAAACCCTCTCGGAGCACACATTTGTTGCATTCAGCCACATGCTGCCATCCTTGCTGCCCACACTACTTTGGACATAAATGGAGCTATCAGTTTGATCTTCTACTTACCTCAGTTATAATTTCTCAAGTGTGCAGAGAACTATGAGAGTCTGTGTCTTACCATCCCTCTGCTCATCCATTTTCTCCACCCTTCCCATCTATAAGCTGTTGTAGTAGAAAACAAGCAAGACTGAGAAAAGGAGGACCTGCACTCGGACTCGTGAACCTGCCTCTTTCTGTGTGAACTTGGATAAGCTGAACTAAATTCCAAGAGCCTCCAATTCCTCTTTTTGTCATATCACATAATGGGAATGGTAGTCATATTATTTTTACAGGGTGACTGTGAAGGTTATAGCGCCCCGCTGACTGGAAAAGTGGTTACTGCGTTAACTAAAAGCGGAAAGGCCTGACCTCAGAGTGGCTGAGAGCTCACGCTGTCGTTATGTCCTGCTACCTTTCTTTCTTCACCGGAAGACAATCGTGCGGCTACAAAGTGCAAAACAAACAAGGCAGGGGTACAGCGGCCTATGCAAGAGAGAAGGCATCTAGAGACCATAGAGCCATTTCAGATTAGCTCAGGTCTCGAAGTCCAATGACTTGCCGTTGCGTGGTACTGCAGGGCCTTGGAGATGTAATTGCAGAGTCACCCTTTGTGACCAAGACAGCAGCCAACTGGAGATGTACAGAGTGGGAAGGCCCAGCAGCCTCACTTGTAGAGCCTGAAGACGAGGGGAAAATGTGATAAGGTGGCCAGGAGCTGTAGTCAAACTACGTTGCATCACTGAGTTCCAAATTGCAGAGGTGGCAGCAGCCCCTTGAGCTCTGCACTAGACAGCCACCTTGGGAGGGAGAAGGAAGTCCAGCTCCTGGTACACTGACAAAGCACGTGCAGACAAGGCAGGTCAGGATGAGAACAAGGTCTAGAAAGTATGACCCACTAGATCTGCTGAGGGAGTTGGAGGTATTTATCCGAGAAAGTTGCACCACAGGGGTCTTCAATGATTTGGTGGGCTAAGCTTAAAACAAGAGACAGACTTATTCTGAGTTACTTCATGGGACAGAAATGAAGCTAATTCACGGGAATTAGAGGGACCAAGGAGGAGGTATTAGCTCAGCGTGAAGCAGTTCCCACGGTCCAATGTGCCCAGTTGTGCGCTCTCATGGGAGAACACATTGTGTGACCAAGCGTGGCTGCCATATTGCTGGGAGGATTGTGTGGAGACCCCATGCCACGTGCCACATGCCATAGATACTGTGTGAGTATGTGGGACACGGGCTCAGTGGAGGGTGAAGGTTGGCTAATACTTGGCTCGGAAGAGAAGAAAAGACCATCTCCTAATTTACCTATTTAGTATTCAGACCTCATCGGCATGTTTAATGCCAAGGCTCTTAGCCTGCTGGATCCCTGAGAGCCAGCAACAGCCATGGCCACCAATCACTGTGGCCACGCCCTGCCAGGCATTTACAATGAATTACTACTTTCTTGTTTTGCATAATTAGAGTCCAGTTTCATCCAAACTAGTGCTGGAGCAGTAGAGTGGAAAAACCAAGGGGTTTAATATCTGATGGACTTGAATTTGCCTGTTTTGTCCTAGTTAGCAGAGTCATTTCAGGAGAGTTTCTTAATTTTTTTGAATCTCAGTTTTCTCATCTGTTAAATAGGGATTAAAAACAGCTGCCCTGTAATGTTCTAAAACTTAGAGAGATGCACATGCAAAAGGTAGACATTTGGTGTTTTTTTTTTTCTTTCCCATTTTCTTGCTGTCTGCCTCTGAGAGGGAATAGCAGCTCTGCACTACGGTAACTGTTCCTACAGCCAGCCCTGGGGTATGCATTTTAAGCTCTTTTGTGCTGCTGAGCATCAAGAAGAGCCTGAAAATGCCTGGCGCTCCAGCACGTTGTGTCTCTCCCTCTTCCCTGCTTTGCTATCTGGACCCTGGGTTCAAATATGTGATGTTCTTAGACCTTATCTAGACAAGTCTGAGGGCTGTTACTTTTACAAGGTCATGGAACTTGCCCTTGGGAACTTTCCATTGGAATCTATCCAGGCACTGGACTATCCTGACTCTGTAATGTGAGCATTAGATCTTTTCACTCGTCCAGTGGCCATGTGTAGGACACACATAGTAACACACTGATGTAGGAGTGGGAGAAACACATAAGGGAACAGGCATTCTCCTCACAGCTTTGAATTCTTACAAACTCTCCAGGAAGAGATCATGTTGAGGAACAGTTTTGTTCTTCTGGTTCCATGAAAACAAGCAGCAAACAAACAAACAAAGCAGACAATGGAACCAACTTAAAAATATAGATCAACTCAGAAGTTGTTAATGGAAATAAATATATGTGCACGCTGTGACTTATTGGTGTGGAATGGTGACCCTGGCTGAGACAGCTGAGCCTAGGGGAGCTGAGAGACCCTCCCCACTGCAACCCTCCACTGTTGGATCACATTCTTCAGGTGGACCACTTCTTCTCCCCACCACTGGCCAGCAGAGGGAGAGACGGAGGGAAGAGACTGGACTCTGGAAACCAGCCCCAAAGACCAGTCAGAATCCCAGTCCCCACCCTCCCAACGGAGAGAGCATATGGACAGAAGAGGAAGGGTCAATCTGAAAAAAGCTCCGTGTATCCAGTACCTAAGCCCATGGATGGAGTGAAAAGTCTGGCCATTGTTAAAAGGTTCTAAGAAAACACTGAGTCTTCACAAAGACACTTCCCACCTTCTGCTGCTGAACACGGTTCTCAGAACCTATTTCTCCGATCTGTTCTTTGATCCCCTCCAGCAGCCTTTTCCTTTTGCAACTTTGCATTTCCTTTTGAGACAGCCCTGATGATTACTGTAACCCGATTTCGCTGGGTAAAAATACTGTTGGATAACAAGGAGGCCTCAAGATGTGATTTTTCTGTTTCCCTGGTTTATTTCTGACACATGGAGAAGCTGCTCTGCCCAGAACCCAGGCAGATGGGATAGTAAGCAGAAAGGGTCCCCCAGGCCCCTGGGCTCATGGACCCCAGGCATGCACAGGTACGTGCACTTTTCTCAAGCACTAGCCACAAACTTAGTGGAATTGGGAAAGGGAACATCAGGAATTCTGTGTCTCTGGAATCAGTTACAGACCTTAGCGTCCCAGGAGGAGATGCCCATGACCAGTGACTTACCAAACAGCAGCACAGCCTTCCAGTGCAGCATGGTGCCTGTCCCCAGGAGCGTGTGTCAGGTTGTAAGACGAGGTGAAGCTGCAGGGAGAGCACCTTGGCCTCAAGCCGAGGCTGAGTGGGTGGACCTCAACCGAGGTGTGTGTGTGTGTGTGTGTGTGTGTGTGTTATGTGTGCGCGCGCGCATATATGGGGGGGGTGCGCGCATATATGGGGGGGTGTTATGGCTTGATAAGTCTAAATAAAGGAAGTGGGGAAGAAATTTGAAAAGCTCAAGTCGTTATTTCCCTGTGGTCGAAGTATATTATATACATTTATCTTATTAAATATGAGGCACAGAAGAGCCAGGTAAGTCACTACGTAGCACTTTCTGATACTCTGT